TGTTTATAAGTTATAAAGAGTAAAACACTAAGAAAAGATCTTTTACCAAAGACATGGTCTATGAATATTTGCAGTCATATAGATGTGAAATATTCTTCACTCTCGAGAAAAGTAGGTAAACACTGGTAAACATTAAATTAAATTAACATCACATCAATGACCTTGCAAAATTTCATCTACCCCAGAACCACTGCACCAATTTCAACCAAACTAAACTAAAAAATTCCTTGTGTAAAAGGAATTCAACTTTGTCCAGATGAAATACCAGACCCTCTTCCAAGGGGAGATAATTAAGAATTACTAAAAAATCTTTTTCTCAAAAGGCAAGACAAGCTTTAATACATGTTCTAAATTCATATGTTTTTCCAATTCTTGACCCCTGTGAGTAGGGTGGGGACAAATTAGGTGTTCAAAGTCTTACATAGAAATATAAAGAAAACTAGACGAGCTTGTTGCAAAGCAGCAAAGCAACAAATACATGTAAGTCTTCCGTCTAAATTTCAAGGAGATGAGATCAAGATCGAGAGACATCTACGGTCATATGAGCAAGAATGAGCCATTTACCATTACTTCTGGTGTGACCGGAAGTGACGACTTTTAATGATCTCCTTAGCTGCTACTTGTCATTTTAAACAACTTTGCTTCTATGATGCTATACAAATTCTCAATACTTTTTGAGATATCAGGAAAACACTTTTGGCCCCTGTAACTCCCTAATTTTAGGGGACAGTCCCTTACTGTTGATATCCTTTGAAAGATCGTAACATTTTACACAACTTTTGTTCTATATGTTTTAACAAACTGTTTACAGGTAAAAATATATTGTAGAAAAGGTGTTAGAAATTTTAAAAATACCGATAGGACTTTTTCCGGGCCATAGCGAGCGACGAAGTGTGGCACTTCCGGGGTAAGAGAAATGCGTCTGTCACATCTACACATGTTGCTCTATCATCGCCGAAAAATGTCATGTTTCTGTCTAGAAGCGCTTTTGAGAAAACTGCTGGACAAAGTGAACCTCCGAAAATCACTAAATCGCGGAAAGCTCGGAACCGGAAGTGACGTCATCAAAACAAAAGAAATCCATCTAGATTTTTTATTGTTCTATCAGACCTGTAAGTTTCATGAAAATCGAGCGAGTCGTTTCCTAGAACTCGCGTGCACAAAATCGGTAAGAAAAAAAAAAACAATAATAATAATAAAAAAAAAATAGTGGAAAAGAAACCTAAGAAAAACAAGAGGGTCTTCCGCTGAAGACCTAAGACCTTAATTATTTGAAAATCCTCTCAAGAAAAGCAAAGCTATGATGAGTCATATTACAGATAAATTGATGTTACAGGGGTTTCCATTACCTCGTTAAAAATCGGTATTTTGCAAATTCTATGATCGTTATAAAGACATTGTTAGCAAATATAACCTTGGGTAGGATGGGGCTAGAATAGATAAATGTTTTCTTTACATAGGAATATATAAAAATCTTTAAAATTCTTCTTTTTATGAACAACATAGTCAATGGTTATTTATATTGATAAACTGACAAACATCACCAGGTAGATTATATATAAAAACTGTTCTGATCAGTACCCCAAGGAATAGGTTGATGCCAAAATAGACTATAAGAGTTAACGTGAAAATAAAATAGGAAGAAAACTTTTCAAGAGTTGAAATACCATCCTAAATCATGATAATAAGCAAAACATACATAAGTGGTGTAAAATCATTGTTTTTTTTTTTATTTATGAGGTCTGGGTTGAAGAATGTACGAAAATCAGAAATCCAATTTTTACATAATGCTCTCCAAAATAGCTTGGCCATGTTGATCGTACTGATATTGAAGCATCCCAATGTTATGTATATTCAACTTTGATTAAATCATTGTCCCCATAAGGCAGCGCTCTAATTGGCGACTAATTTAGTCGCCATGGCGCCTAAAATTTTTAATTGGCGTCTAAAATTTTTCATAAGTCGCCAAATTGTCGACCATTTTACATTGACTTGGCCATCCTCAAATTCCGGAACTTAAGACATTTGTAAGAATTTTTATTTTTCTAAAGAAGCAAAAAGAAATTTAAAAGAAGAGGAAATTATTTTTAGCAATGGACATGTCATGTTTTCTAGGTAACCTTTTTTTTTTTTTTTTTTTAGTAAGCACACATGCGAACAAAATTTCACGCCGCATCAGTGCACACACAGCTCAGGTAGAATAGATAAAACAATAACTGCACCCAGGTAATTGTTGGCTTTAAGAAATCGATAATTATGAAATACAGAACATTAGGCGACCCGGTGATGTGGTCATTTATTTGCCAATTAAATTATAATCACTCATTAGAGATATCGTCTACATATTAGTGTCATGTCGTACTTTTACGGACGAGAATGTTAATCATGTAAACAATCCTCTATACTTTTACAGTTTTAAAGAATAGTTCATGCAGTCCAAATTTCTTGAAAAGCAATGATCGATTATTTTTATTTTGATATTAGAGTTTTACATGCTTAAGTTAAAGACGGCATCGTGGGTAAGTTAAGGCTACACCCAGAGATATCCTACTTGCCTTTACAATATGACGTCATAGTAAGCTGTATGACGTGAACTTTAGAAATAATAATTTCTTATTATCTATATTTAAAGTTTAATTTCAGGTGTAAGAAATGAATGGAATCATTGATAAACATAATATAAACAAAATCTTGTCGTTTTTGGGTGGTATAAATAGATAAGTATTTATCACAGGGGTTAAATACCAAACCTATGACGTCATAGCTATTGATCAAATATTTGCCGAGTGAAAATTAAACGTGACGAGAATTCTTGTAAACAAATTTATGAAATGGGAATTTTAAAGCATATACCGTGAATGCTATGTGTGATTCATAAGGAATTAAAGATTGAGAATAAGGTACGCTGATATATTCTTATCATGTTTTCTTATAATGAACACAGACAGTGCTTTGAAATCCCGATCAGCCTTTCCTCTGTCGTTCAATAACAACAAAGATGCAAAAGTTCAACACTACGCCGCATACTGTGAAACATAATTTTTGTCTGTATCGAAAGGTTGTATTCTATAGTACTTGGAAAGTGCTGCTAGAATCGTGTGGTTACCGTGAATTGATGACAATTCCTTCGTCGTATGTATAAAATGTAAAAAGTTTGGTAAGGTTTCATGCGAAACTTTGGAATATTTTTTCTGTGTCAGAAGAGGATTCTAGCAGCACTTTTCATGGCCCAGTGATGTTTTTACATAATTTTTTTTTTCACAAAAAGAAATGAATTATCCCGGGATAGTGTTGAACTTTTCACCTTTTCATTAGGCAATTTTTCTATTTATAGACGTCACGTGATGATGTCGTAGTGGAATGCTTCTTTTAACCTTAGACTCAATGACATCTATAAAATGGATGATAATGCTAAATGTTTTTATCTATGGCTTTTCCGATTTATCAATGTTACATTTTACGAAAAAAGTCTAAATTCGCCGAAATATGATCTGGGTACTGCTTTAACACACCTGCGATGTAACTCAGATACATGTACTCTTGTCAAAACCACTTTCAAAGGCAGAAGGGGAACTAGACACTCTCCACATGGGTCCCTATATTGATTACTATTAACTTTTAAAGTTGGCGCTTAAAAAATTGCCTGGCGACTAAACATTTGCATTGGCCTAAATTTTAGAGGTCACTTAGAGCCCTGCCTTAAGGTTAGATTTTTGTCATTATTACGAAGTCAATGTTTTTTTTATAAAATTAAAAAGTGACTCAGGTGAGCGTTCTGTCCAATGGACCTCTTGTTATTTATTAATCATGTTTTACTGTCCATCTACTTCTTCGATTTAAAATCTGATTAGTGAACTATATGTACACACTTAATTCAGAAAACGATACGTGAATAGTTGTAAGAATATATGATAATACTACTTTCACATTTTACTTTTGAACCTGCATTTTTTGCATTTGGTAAGTTCTACTGATTTGAGGTTCAGGGATGTATAAAAGATACTGGAGGTTAACAATGTTCATTAGTTGAGAAAAAAAATCATGATGTGTTCTTTAACTCCATATTTAGCTATACTATACGTTTAATCAATTAGCAGTAGTTATTATCATTCATATATCGACTCAGTATATCCCGGTGAAGTCGAAAGGAAAGACACTACAGAATTTAACACTTCTATGTCATGTTTAGATGTTCAACTGACTTGAATGAACAATTAATAAGTACACTACTCAACAAACATGATGAATTTAGCTTTCCAAACGTCAACTACCTATATCTATACACTGATTCGATACAAAGGAGCACATTCTAAGTTCGCTCAATTTTAATTTGAAACCGAGGCAGGATACAGAATAAAGTTGGTGTTACAATGCTTTGTAAACAATTCTGTTTGAAGTCAGAATCTCACAAACTCTATGGTCGATGTAATGATCTACCTTGTTTGCAAATACGACCCATCATTGTATTTCACTGGCATGGTTCATACCAATTGTTGGTTCATTTTATTATTTCGTTTACGTTATAAATACAAAGGGTTTAGAACAAGAGTTACCGGTCAACAGAGGAAGCTTACTTCTCCTAGGCCCCTGATCCTACCGCTTGTGTTTTCTGAGATTGGTGTTTTGACATGTTTTTGACTGCATTCAGTATTCGAATAATGTGATAGACCACACAGTTTTTTTAAATCCTTAAATGTTGAAAAAATATCGATTCATTTCAATTCAATAGGGTATGCAATATAATGATAAAGAAAACTTCTGAAATCGATTAGACGATAATATATGTAACGTTAAATTATGTTTTGGTAATATTTGGACACTAAAGAGCCAGTTATTGATCTACTAATTCTTGACATGTCACTTGTTAATTAACAGCATTTCTGTACAATCTTTAAATCAAGCATAGCATCAAAGATATATCGAAAAAATTACAGTGATATATGTATCATTAAAATTGCGGGATATAAGTTTTGTTTAATATACTTTTTTGTTTTATTAAGCTCTTGCAGCAGAAACAAATAAGGAAGGGAAGCAGCTTTTGAGTGTCATGGATTTTGGAGGACAGTGTGCCTACTACGCCTGCCATCAGGTCTATCTCAGCAGAAGGGCTTTCTATCTGCTGGTGATAGATATGTCTAAACCATTTAAAGAAAAGATCGACAAGAAATGTTGTGACCAAGAAGGAACAATGTTCGGTGACTGGACATATGGGGGTACATGTTTTAGTTTATCTCTAGCATGTATGATATTTTAAAAATGAAATTGTAAAATATAGGCAAAAATCAAAGTACATTAACAATGTAAGGAAATATTCATGTAAAAACATATTACCATTATCTTTTTACAACATCTGATTCAAAGAAAATTTTCCATGTGTACTTGAGATGGTCATTGAATTAAATATTTTGTTCACAATAGAATACCTTTTGTTCTGGATGAAGTCTATACATCTGTACAGTGCTGCAGATGCTCCCGTTATACTAGTGGGAACTCACCTCGACAAAGCCAAAGGACAGGTAATAGAACTTACATTACATTTCATAAAACATAGTATATTTTTCTTTGTTTTGTGATGCAAATGTGCATAATTATATCTTCCAGCTATATTTCCAAAAGAAACAATTTGATAGGCCTTTAGCGCACATTCGTTAACGATAATTTTATATGCTATGCATGCAAAGAGCTAGGTTCATTATTTCGTATAAAATGGCCCTGTAGATATACCAGTTTATTGACTGTAGATATACCAGTTTATTGACTGACACACTTTGCTCATTTCAAACATCAAAATATGAAGTTGAGACTTGGTGCATTCATTTCCTATAACAATTTTTCTTCTAGAAGTCCAGAAATTAGAAAACAGGCTTTCTGAATTTGAAATGTTTTTGAATTTGGCAAAAATAGGTGTATGTGAGTACTTTAAGTAAGGAATTAAAATATGAGCACACTCCTGGCGCAGCTAGGTTAAGGACTCCAATATTTACATCAGCCTCTGCATAGGTTGGGGAAAACAATTATGAAGTCACGTTAAACAATACACATGAATTTCTACAAATAAATACAATGTTCTTTTTTTACACACTTAAATACTTGTTTCACATAAAAATTGTAAAGATAAATGGATGTGCTACTTATTTTAACATAAAAGCACTTGGCGAATGTAGAAATCTCGCAATACTGACTCAGATTTTTAAGAAAATCAAAGGGCGAAAAAGCTTGCTTGCTCCCGAAAAGCTTGTAGATTAAAGATCAAGAGGCATTTTTTGTTAAGAATTCAATTATAGCAAACTTGAAGGACTGGAATGATAGATTCTGTATGCTACGCATATAAAAATTCATACAGTATTTAAATTCTATGTAAATTGAAAAAAAATACGCTTGTGTATGATTTAAATATACCTGTTCTGTTTGTCAATTTCTGTATGTCCTCAAAAATGGATATACAGAAGTGTAGATTGTATCAGTCACATAATGTCAGTATTTAAATCTCACTAATCTTTGTAACTGTAGAATCAAGATACCTTTGGTGCACTATTTCTATAATGCAAATTGTTGGTTTGATAATTTAGAGACACTTCCACAGATACACCCAATTAAAATTAACAGTATTCTGTGTTTATAAGTCTTTCTATAGATAAAGAAAGTTTTCAGAGAAAAATGTAGTAGTAATGTAGTAGTAATTAAGTACATGTACTTACAATTAAATGAGATTTTATAGGCTATGTTTTCAAAGCTTTTAGGATCTTCAACTGCATATTGCTAATTCATGTGACTCCCTGTCATTTTCTTGCGATTTGACGGCTTTGGGCCATTTTGCGATATTAAGTACTCGCATAAAATAAGGAATCTACAGTACTTAATCCTAAATATTTTAATATCAATAATAATAAATAAAAAGACATTAAGTTAGGGTTTGATTTTAAGAAAATATAACGATGTCTCATACATTTTCTTTGTACAAGTGTTTATCTTTTCAATATTTTTGTTATTTAGACTTCGGACACATTGTACAGAAGTATTTTGGATCATCTGAGGTACGATGAAAATCTCAAAAGACACTTGAACAGAAAGAGATGCTTCGTTTTAGGCTTTCAGGAAAAAGGTGAACAATGTCTTGACAAACTCTCAGATTTAGAAAAATGTATTGTTTCAATTGCTAAAGAAGAACGGTGGAAGGAAACTATTCCAAGAGACTGGGCAATGTGTGAAGTTGTTCTAGTGGAACTCAAATCCACAGAAAAAATGCTTTCATGTAAGGAAGTGTCTAGAAAATTCTTGAACTACATCGAAGAGAAAGAAACAAATGTTCAAGATGTTTTGAAACTTTTCCATGAAATTGGACTTATTCTGCATTTCAACGAGGAATGCCTTTCTGAAACTGTTGTTATTGACATCCAATGGTTTGTTGATGCCTTCAAAAATATCATTACAGATCCAAACCATGTTTTAGATTTAGTAAAAAGTGACGCCGAATGGATGGACTTCGACCAAAATGGATATCTTTCCCACCAACTTCTCAAAAAAAATATGGGCATCCGGAGAATTGCAAATAGAGCCTAGCAAGCAAAGGAATATACTCCAGTACATGGAACATCTTGGATTGATATTTGTGGGGCTGAAGTCGGACATTCATTACATACCTTGTATGAATAAACGTACATTTGATGCTGCACACGAGGAGAAATTGAGAAAATGTCAAAATAAAACATCAGTGTTGGTCTTCAGATTCATTTTTTTGCCATGGTTTGTTTACTTTCGTCTTATTGTTACTTGCATGACACATGGATGGAGAGTTTTGAAGGACGATGGACTATGTCTGTATAAAAACATTGCTTGTTTTGATTATAAGCAGCACAATATTGTTCTTGCAGTAAATCACTCATCAATACAACTTCAGGTGTTTCAACATGGTAACACTATTGTCAAAAAAGAAGTCACTCTGGAAGTACGTGACACCATAGAGCGATTATTAAATCAAATCTCCGGAAGCTTTCACAAGAAAATCATGTACAGTGTAGGGTACCAATGTACACTAAATGAGGTATATTGTGAATATGATAAATGTTTTGTTGAAGAGAAAGAAATTCACGGGAAGGGTCAAATAATTTGTCCTCGACATGAAATGATACATCATCACACTCTGTTTGAGCCAGATTTACTCGGATACTGGACAAAGGTAAAAAAAAACTTTTAAAAGGCTATAATTATTCAAATTGCAATCGTAACTACATCAATATTATTTTATCAAAAAAGTCAAGTATCAACAGAATTCATTCGTTTAGAATATTAATATAAAATATTTCTACAAAATTGTAGGATTGTGGAATATCAGAGAAAGGTCAGTGTTCTTGAAAGAAGTATTTTTTCTAGAATTACTGAGCGTCTTAAAAATGTTCAGATTTCATTGTGGTTTCATAATATAACTTAATATCAAAACGGTACTTCCAGAATATACTAGTCGATAATATAAAACACTTTATAATTACGATTGAAATATCTTAATAGTTGCAAGCCTACATGGAGACACCTTTATCAACCTTTATGAAGAGGGACTGCTAAAATTCCACTTTAAGATGTTTGAAAAGTTAACCAAGGTTGGGCGAGATGCCATGCAGGTTTATTTTGATACGGTGTTCCCACGACAGGACATTATTAAAATGTCATCGGAAAAGGATAAAGTGAAGAAAAAATTTCGTTTGAACGACAATCAATTCAACAGGCTTTTTCCTGGTATATAGATTTATTTACCTTTAACAATATACCTCGTATACTCCACTGATTAACAATAATGCTATCAGTGTTAGGTAAATTAGAAGTGAAAAAAGATGTGAAATTAAATCAATATTTAAAAAAAAAACATGTATTTCACTAAGAATTCTAAATCAATAATGTAGCTAAGGGGAACAGAAATTTGTGGGTAGAAATGTATCAGTTCAAAAAGAATAAAAACTTAGAATAACTGAAGTTTATCTTTAATTAGACTAACATTCACAATATGAAATCGTGGTTATAGGATATACACTGTATTATTCTACCTTATGACACAGATACTCTGAAATTACTAATTTTCGTGTAAATATTAATTGTGTTTTTTTTTTTTTTCATTTCATTGTATGAAGAGACCCGTGAGATTAGGTACTTCACGAACTGTAAAATTTGATATATATATATATATATATATATATATATATATATATATATATATATATATATATATATATATATATATATATATATATATAGATAGATATATAGATATAGATAGATAGATATATATATATATATATATATATATATATATATATATATATATATATATACAGACCCTGAAACGTGCTACTACCCCACACGCACGCTGCACGAACGGTACACGCTCGCTACACGGTTTGCACGAAACGCTGCACGGTTTACACGAAACGCTACACGGTTTGCACGAAACGCCACACGGTTTACACGAAACGCTTTGCACGAAAGGCTGCACGGTTTACACGAAAGCCTGCACGAAACGCTTTGTACACGTTTCTCACACGCTTTGTACACGATTCTCGCACGCTTTGGCCTCGATCTGGATTTTCTATTCGGAATCTCTCGGACTTTATTTAAATTATTACGGATTAATCAAAGATTAGTTAAGAATTGCAATCATTCTGATTAAGTTAAGATTAAACCTCGCTACACCAGTACTATACTAACAGATAAAATACTCAGTTGTAATTAATTAATAGTTGTCAATGAGTATGTGACCCGGCCGGTGAAATGCCTATCATCGTCTATGTACAAACCTTTTTCATTAGACTCTGAATTACGCACTGAAAGAACAAATATATTTGTATTTCATAATCTTTTACAGCATTCAATGTTTTTACAATTATAGTTTGATATTATAAAGTCGTTTTTATTACTGAAAATAAATGCAGTTATTGATTTGAAGAAAAAAAAAATGATTAAATTGCGTATGATTTCTGTAAACGGATTGATTTTCTTTTCCTTTCTTTTTTTTTAATTACTGATTTATTCATTTTTTAATTGGGTAAATAAATAATTTCATTTGATTAATTAGGTTCTGCTTATAATTTGCAAAGGTAATATGTACACTGCATCAAACAAAAACATTGTGCGTGAAAGGGGGGGGGGGGAAGGTAGATTACCGAGATTTTACTTCTGTGCCTGGCTAAATATAACGGGCACTTGTTTCAGTAAGTATACATGTACCATTGGAAAAAAATTATTATAGAAACAAATACTCGTTCTAAGAAAAAAAGATATCCATATCTCAAACGGGACCCGATAAATGTAACTCATTAAATGAACTTTATTCAGAATGGTAAATATATCGTTTCATTACAGAGTTGAACTTTAATTCATCAAAAATTTTATATGGTAGAGAAGGCGGGGGATAGGTATTGTAATTCTTTAGTTCTCTTTTGAGGCATTGTGTACAATATATCCACCACCTTGTAAAATCCTTGATATAAAAACCCCGTCTAGCCAAAAAAAAAAAATGTAATCAATAGTCTCAGCTCTTAACAATACATTCAGTATACATGTATACATGTCCAATCATCAAAAACTAAAAATTATGCTCTAGAACTGCTTGATTAACAAAACAACTAATACATAATTATTCAGGATTTATTTCTTTATATTTTTTTTTATTCACGAATACACTGGCAAATTAATTCACTGTTTACAGACAGTCGGTAAAATTTAAGAAATAAAATCCACGGGTATTTATTTTTACCTATTAAATACTATTAAAACAATTTAATTCATGAATTATTGTCGGTTGTCATCTTAGCCATGACTGACAAGAGCTAATACATGTAGCAGAATAAGTTTTCAGTTCCCGGCACGCGGAGCCCGTGATCGCTGTTGTAAATGACCTTGATCACAGTCGTAAGAAGAGTGTTGGAAGTGTAAAGAAGATTCCAATATATTTTTAAGGGGTGCATCGGGCATTTTTAAAAAGAAAATTATTTATAAAAAACTTGTTAACAAAAACTCAAAGTTTGTGTTTTCATTTGAACATTTGAACACCCCACCCCCCCGGAAATATTTAACCCTATATTTGTGAATTATGATTCCTTTATATGACAATTATTAATCAACCAATTTTATGCATAACAAGACTATATATGACTCATCGTTTCAAAATTATTTGTATCACAATCTTGTAATATAAGAAAAAAATTTTCGTTTATAAAGAAAAAAAATTAGTTGTGTTCCCCGGCCTTGAATTCCCATACTCCACATTTATAGCAACGCTATATGTGTTTTATTTTTCATGCCTGCCTTATCTATCTATTATTTTGTATTAATCACCCATATGTTCTCGTAGTCTCTATAAACCATAATTGTAAAATGATGAAGAGATTCTAATAAATGAATGAATAGGACAAGACCGGATTCCTGATGAATTTTCTTTAAAAATTGTTCAGTATTGCTCCCTTTCAAAATGTATTGAATCAAATACCTTAACATTGATGTGCATATAATTAATTACTTTCGACACAGTTTCTTTCCATCTTTATTTAAATAAAAAAAGAAAGAAAATCAAACAAATATGAAATACATTACCGAGTAATTTTATTTTGTTGTTTCCGTATTTTTTTTCTTAAAATACCACCGGTATGATATATCCGAATAATATTAGTTACAAACAACACAGAATGACATGTTAATCCATCAATAGCCATATTAAAATAAAATGACTTCCGAATGAATCCTACACGTTTCTCACACGATTCTTGCACGAAAGTCGCACGTTTCTCACACGGTTCTTACACGAAAGTCGCACGTTTCTCACACGCTTCTTGCACGCTCGCTACACGATTTGCACGAAACGCTTTGGAGGTTACACGAAACGCTGCACGATTTACACGAAACGCTACACGGTTTGCACGAAACGAAAAGCGCACGAAAGTCACACGCTTTTTTGGGGTAGTAGCACGTTTCAGGGTCTGTATATATATATATATATATATATATATATATATATATATATATATATATATATATATATATATATATATATATATATATATATATATATATACACTACTCAGCACCTCCTCAAACACGAAATGTAATCCCCAAGAACCTATTTATTTTTGACAAACGAAAGTTTGCCTCCACGAAATTAAGTGATTTTTCAGTACAAGTATTATATTTATTCTGTATCAGCTGATGGATCTAATCCCTGCTCTAAATCATTTGATGTAACGATGATGTACCAGATGTTAAGGAACCTTACCAAACCTCAACATCATCCACCAACTAAAGGCTGGGGAGAGATTCCAGATACCTGTGATACAAACAAGTCTGACGACATAGAAAGGATCCGGATTTACAGAAATCAAGTTGTGCACGAAACCGAGGCTACAAGTAAATTAGATAGAAAGGACCTGGAGGAAAAAGGAAGAGATCTGACGCAGGTACATGTAACACTTACATTTGGATTTAAATAGTAGTTTTATAAATAGTTAAATAAATTATAGACTTCGACTAAATATTTCAATATATAAAATACATCGTCCGTAGGTCGTAAACTTTTGAACATTTTCAGCTTCTTCTCTTGAACCACGGAGCCGATTTCAATCAATTTTTATATGTAACACCAATTGCTGAAGTGGTACAAAAATTGTGAATTTCATGTTCCCTGTCCCCTTGGGGCCTGAGGGGTAGGGCTAAAACCATCAAAATTAGTGCTATATTCAAAAATCTTCTTCTTTACCACGGGACATCAAGCAGTCAAACTGTGGGCATGATTTTAATAAGCATTGAGCCCTTTACCAAAACTGTGAAATTCGTAGCCCCCAGGGTCGGGGTTCTTGATTTAGAGTAGGGCTTCAATGATCATATATTGAAAATACATAAATTCATTGAAAATCTTCTCTATCCCTGTATATAAAGCAGATAAACTAGGTACATGAACATGGTTATGATGATCAAGGGTGCCTCATCCAAAATTGTGAAATGTGTGGCCCTAGGGTAAGGGGTTCTGCAGGAGGGGGGGGGGGGCTCTATTGAATATATTGTGAAAGTGCATTATTTCTTTGAAAATCTTCTTCTCTGCTCCTAGGTATTTAACAGATAAACCAAGTATATTGTTATGGTGAGGAAGGGCGCCTCCTCCAAAAGTAGGGCTTTTGGTGTTAGG